ACAAAGTAGAATTTTTGCTCACAGGACTCCACAGCTTAGAGGGAGCATTGCTCAGAGATGGTTTGCGATTGTCCGCCTCTGTATCACGCCCCTGATATTCCTTTGAGGTCTCCCATCCAAATACAAGCCAGGGCCAGTTTGGCCAGGGATCCTGGAGGGGTCCCCCCTCCTCTTCTGGGCATACAGCAGGGGTCACTGAGGGTGGGGGAGGCAATGCTCCCTCTAAGCTGTGGAGTCTTGTGAGCAAAAATTCTACTTTGTGAGCTACTGGCATTAAGGTTGTGAGAGATCAGTTTGGCTACTGCATGAATTAGTTTGTTCTGGAGCCGTCCTTCCTGAGCTAAGGCAAAAATGTGTGAGCTGGAGGCTAAAAAACTGAGCTAGCTCACACTAACTCAGCTTCGAGGGAACACTGGTGGGGGGTATTTGTGAATTTCCTGCCTTGTGCAGGGAGTTGGACTAGATGACCCAGGAGGTCCTTTCCAACTCTATGATTCTATGAGGCCACACCATAGATCTATATAGGGGCATTATAATATCAGCTGTTTTATTCTCAATCCCTTTCCCAATAATCCCTAACATAGAATTTTCCTTTTTCACTGCTGCAGCTCACTGAGTTGACACCTGCATTGAGCTATCCACTATGACCCCAAGATCCTTCAGGAAAGATCATAATGAAATAGGTTTGGGGATCATAGAATCATAGAGTTGGATCTCCTGGGTCATCTAGTCCAACCCCCTGCACAACGTAGGAAATTCACAAATACCTTCTCCACACACACACACACCAAGTGACCCTTGCTCCACACCCAGAAGATGACAAAAAAAACCTCTCCAGGATCTCCAGCCAAACTGGTCTGGAGAAAAATTGCTTCCTGACCCCAGTGTGGCGATTAGCATTTTCCTGGGCGTGTAAGAAAGGGCCATGAGAACTAAGCACTGGTGCAGCCCTTCCTGCCCTCTTGTCTCCTGATCTGCCGAAGCTCACACAATCAGCATTGCTGTCAGATGGCCATCTAGTCTCTGCTTCTAGACCTCCAAGGAAGGAGAGCCCACCACCTCCCGAGGAAGCCCGTTCCAC